GAAGGAAAACGTTTAAAACTGCTTCTAAAGCTGCCTTTCTGTGTTTATTAATATTTGTCATTATACTTGTAAAATATCCATCCATCCATTTTCTTTACCCGCTTATTCCATTTTGGGTCACGGGGGTCGCTGGTGCCCATGTCCAGCAATCACTGTGCGAGGGGCGGGGTACACCCTGGACGGGTCGCAAGTCCATCACAGGGACACACAGAGACAAACGAGACAAACAATCATTCACTCTCTCACTCACACCTAAGGACAATTTAGAGTTACCAATCAGCCTAACATGCATGTTTTTGGTCTGTGGGAGGAAACCGGAGTACCCGGAGAAAACCCACGCATGCACGGAGAGAACATGCAAACTCCACCCAGAAAGGCCCCTGGACCGGGGTTTGAACCAGGGACCTGCTCGCTGAGAGGCAGCAGCTCTACCAGTTGCGCCACCGTGCTGCTCCTTGTAAAATATATATTTGTAAAATGATTATTATTAACAGTGACATTTGTTTTTAAAAAACTGTGAAAATAACTCTTTAAAAAGGAATTATATGTCAGAAACGATAACATTTAATATTTCTTCACTTTCATCTGAAAGATAAAATCTTTATTTTTCTTTTCTTTACTTCCTGCAGAATCCAGTGAGCTGGTTGTAGTTACAGCTTCAGTACACCAGAGGGCAGTGTTGTGCCACACATAATAAACATGAACATGAACGCATCACTCAATTTAATTAATTCAACATTTCTTTAGACAGGTAAATCCCATTGAGCCTCGAGGACTCATTTACAAGAGAGACCTGATTTCAACAAAGAATGATGACAACAATGGACAACAGCGACAACAATAAACAATTATAAAAAGTCATACAATTTTTTTTTTTTTTTTACAAATAGGAAGGCTAAAAAAAGAACAGTAACAAAAAACAGCTAGATTCTGAGGCGAATGTAGAAAACTAGAAAGAAACTAGAACGCACTCAATTTAAAATGTCAGGAAATAAAATAGAATAGTTCTTATTAAAGAACCAGCGCAGCATATTTAAAGATCTGTGAAAGATGCGTCTTTAAAGCTCTTATAGGTGTTTTTATTTGAAAAATAATCTGCTTTAATTTCACATGAAGGTCGGTTTGTTCAGTTCCTTTATGTTGGAGGCAGTCAGCCAACTTCCCATCATGCACTGCTCTGAGCACAATGACAGGACTGCTTCAGGCTGCTTTACCAGCTGATTATCAGGTAAATATTATAATTAGTATATAATTATAATAAATACGTTGATATATTTCGCAGAGAAAACACAGAATCTACTTTAAACCTTCAACTCAAAACCATAACTTACCTTCTTGTTTATGATCATACAACTAAACTCAGAGCTGAAAGTAGCTAGAAGCTAAAAGTAGCAAAAGGCTAGCTCATAGTAGCAGAACACTTGCTGAAAGAAGCATAAAGCTGCCCAAAATCAAATGATAGTTATAAACAGCCAAACAAAGGTCTGACATGAAGTCAGTGAGCTGAAGTACCAAATTGCAAGCAACAAACTAAAAGTATTTAAATAAAAATATCAAAACGCCAGTTAGAAACTAAAATATAGCAAAAGGCTTGCTAAAATTTAAAGTAAAAAAGCAGCTATAATGTCTCACCAACAGCTGAAATATCTAATTATAATGAACTCTAAATATTAATACCTAGCTAAAAGTAGCAAAAGGCTGGTGAAAAGCTAAAAGTAGCTGAAGAAGACATAAACAGTCAGCAGCTGAAGCATTTTCTGAGAGAACTGAAGAGCTCTCCATGCATTTCTATGAAAATGTTGTCGATAAAGTTAAATCGTTTCAAAGTTACAGCAGTCGTCCCCCTGAATGAGCCGAATGTTTGGATTTATGGCTAAAACAGCACAAACTCTGCAGAAGTAGCTAGACTGAAGAAACTGTGAGCGACGCCTCGGTGTGTCCAGTCAGCACTGATTTTTGTTTCGTGCGTCACGGAAGACAGCCGAACCTGACAGCTGGAGACGCTCAAAAACAAACAACCGACGGAAGAAAACTAAAGAGCAACGAGCCGAAACGTCAACATGAGAACGAAGCTAATGGCTGCAGTCAGAAGTTTTGATCCTTCATGTTCCTGAACATCCAAACCAGCAACTGATGCAAATGAATGCCGTCAAACAGGAACTAGCTGCTGCACTCAATCATGATCACTAACACTGGACACACATGTGTCCAACTCAAGGCCCGGGGGCCAAATGTGGCCCTCGTTGACATCTTCTCTGGCCTCCAATATGTTATTTTAAATGTAAAATACTTTTATCAGGTTTTTTTTCAGTAATCTTTGATTAAGATGTCAAAAGTGCAACAGAGAACGTCAAATGAGACCAATCAAACTCTTGTTGAGGAACCTGCAACCAAGAGAAGATGTTGGGTATTTAACTTGAGTTAATGTAGATTCTGAAACTGGCCCTTAGTTTGAAAAAGGTTTTAATTTTGGCCCCTTTCGTAAGTGGGTTTGACACCCAGAAGCTTCGGCTCCTCGTGTTAACAGAACTCTGTGAAGGTTTGTTTCCATAACTAACACAAATTAATCAAACTTCATGTTGATGGAGGAGGAGTTTATCCACTGCCTTTGATTTCTCCTGTTTTCTCTTCACCCTGAGGAATAAAACTTTCCTCTGGCTGTGGTTCGTTTAGTCATTTTTATTGAAAACTTCTTGATAAAATAAAAATCTTTTGCTTCGTCCTCTTCTCGTGAAGGAAGAAACGTAGAAACTCGTCTCTTCATCTGGGAGCTTGCTGGTCTGGAAGTGCCCTTCTTTTGTTTCTGGGCCTAATTGGGGCTTTAATAAAGGTTGTTATTGACCGAGCCATCTACAAACGTGACGCAGGCTGGAGGATGACGCACGCAGTGGGCGTGGCTTAACGCTGTAAAAAGAGCTCCCTGCTCTGAGTGTGACGTCAGAGGTAGAGAGATTAAACCAACATGCAAGGCTGCTTTTATTCATCATCATTTTTGTACAAACTTGCTTTTTTTAACTGCTTTATAAATTATAGTTCTTAGTTGATATTCAACTATATTATTTAATAATATCCCTTTATTTTCGTACATCTTTACGAAATTAATTTTATTACATTGCGTAAATGCAAGGATTTGTTTAATAAGATTTTATGATTTTACTGTTAACTTTATTTTATTTAAAGTTCTTTTGTTTTATGAGGATTTTGTTGTATTTTTATTCACCTGAAGTGCTTCTTAGTTGAACTTCTGTGCAACTCTTTGAACAACAATGACTGTTTTAAAATGTGCCAAAAAATATACTTTAAATTCTGAACTTATAATTAATCTAAAAAATATATTAGAAATGTACCAACATATTAACCATTGACCCCCGTTACCAAAATGTAATGGATGGATGGATGGATGGATGGATGGATGGATGGATGGATGGATGGATGGATGGATGGATGGATGGATGGATGGATGGATGGATGGATGGATGGATGGATGGCTGG